AAGTATGTGTCGCCTAACTCCACCTAAAATGTGGAGACAATAGAAGAATTAATGAGTAGCTTTAGTGCATGGCCTACCCATCTTGTTAACATATACTGATGCCTCTGGCAATAGTTCTTTTTATCTAAACATGATATCTATATTTAAGTGAATTCAACCAAACACTTGCACTTCATATTATGTTCCCCGTGTGTTGGTGGAATAATGGTGCATATATATATATATATATAATTCCTAGTAAGGTTTTATATGTGATGGCATAGCTAAAAGTAATAATACGCTTTTAGATATTATTTTCATATCGAAGTTGAACGTTGACATTACTTAATTTAAGTACGATCCTAATCAATTCTCGTATTTTCTTTACTGGCCCACTATACTTATATAGATATTGCTTATTCTCCGTTTTTTTTATATTATTATTCTCAAGTTTTTTATTTGTTGGTCTGGAAAGTTATGCAAATAATTAATCAATTGATTATAAGCACCATGAAGGAAACTTATTTAAGTACGTGCAAGAATTTCACAGATTTAAATAATTTTGATTGTAATTAATAGGAGATTATATTATTTTTGCAGCATTTCAATCGGGTAAAAATATCACATTAATTAATACAAAATATAAAAGGAAATTTACATAATTTCATAACTACTGCCTGTAGACACGATAGAATTCGGCGTAAATTTTAATTCCACGATTCCTAAATTGAGATCCTATTCAGGAGAACGTCAAACTGCTGGATTTAATTGTCCTTGGCATGTAATTGGTGATAACAGCATTTCATACGTGTGTACACGCATGCGCAATAAATAAATCAAAAAGTCCAATCTAATATCAAATCAGTGATTTTCGCCTTTGGTTCATTTGCATGGGATTAGATTTATTGGTTAAATTATGTCTAAGGAAAGCTATGTACAGTAATGTGAGACCACATTAATTCATGTGTGGACCAAAATGAAATAAAGCCGTGAGTGGTGGTGGTGAGTGGGTGTGTATATTTGTTGGGTTGATGGCATGATTGGAATTGAAAAAGACCAGCGCAATGTGTTCGATCAACGCACACATGTCTATCAAATTTATTGAACACGCCCCTGGCCAGTTCTGTGCCCCTTGTCCGTGAAATCCCCAGCTTAATAATGCCTCTACGCTCCCTATCGTTCCTAATTTTAAGGTGCTCTAATCACTACTAGCATATTACATTGCCAATGAGGCCGGGACACACGGGCTAATAGCACCAAAGCTCAGATTTAGTGCACGCCCAGTAGCCCTCATTTTGCATTTTTTGTGCAGTCAATGGCCAAGCGTAGAGGCAATAGGAAGGCACCCCTATACGGATGTAATGAATCGTCACGGGAAAATAATTGAAAGGGGTCCCTTTTGAGACTTTAATTTGTTTTTCAATCTCGGCAAAGGCCAAGAAATCCAATTATTAGCACAGGAGATTAACAGTGTCATGTATTTATTTTTTGTATTATATATAAATAATTGGTCTGAGGTAACCAAAACAGAGCAAGACTTGATGAAAATGACTGACGGCACGATGGGCACGTTGTTAATTACTGTTTTGGGCGTGCGGAGTGACCGTGATTCAACGTTTTAATGCGGACGGAGACTTGGGCTGTATGGTAAAATCGTCGTGCATTACGAAAGAAAAGAATTCCATAATTTCATACGTGAAAAGCAGAGAGAATTGGGGCTTTGACATGCATGCCAACTTTTTTTTGCGTTTTCAAACTTTCAACCCCCCCAATTCATTAAAGCATCACGCGCGCGCGCGCGCGCACAGAGCAAAACATTTTGTTTTCATTCTTTCGCATATCAAATATTTTTTTATTATTTATCTCCATTCCATTTCCCAGGTGCATTATTATTTTCATTTTAATTAGTGTTAAAAATATTTTCTCTCAACTAATTAAATAGGCCCTTAATAAAAGGCATCATAGAATCTGGAAGACAAAATTAATAATCCATCCAAATATTAATGTTGAACTGATGAGCTCCATTATGGAAGTCTTAGTAGACCCTTTTAAGCTGGATTTGATTAGCTTGGCCGATAAGTTTTGCCAATAATGAAAGGCCTGAATTTTTGTGTGGATACCAACCGTCTTGCCATTCTGCCACGTCACACTCTGTGCCCTTCACTCTACTGAACCTGCCACTGCATGGGAATATATGCTAGCTATTTTGTTTAATTTGCTTTTTCTTATATCCGAAGTATATATTTTAATAAGTGACTGATCCCTTGGCTAGTTTCATTTGTTAGGTTAGTGGCTTCTGATTCATCTTAAAAAATTAAGACGGATGGGTTTCTATGAGAGGTCAACCTCGCCATGGGGTCGACAATATTGCAGGATCTTAATTTACTCCAAACGAGTTTTTGATTTTTTTTTCCTCTTGCAGGGAAAGGATTTTAAACAACAATAACAAATTTTATCTCACTAGTTAAATTTGACTATACATATTATATTCCATCAGCAATCAAATTTTTAAATAAATTGACGATTAAAAAGAAGTATGTTAATGATATATTCATATCTATCATAAAGTGAATTGCTGATAATGATCTGTCTATTGATGGAACCCGTTATAAAATAATTTCTATTCCGTGTGTGCGTAGGCCTGGTTGAATTGAGGCAGAGATTAATTACGGATAATTCGGGAAGATTTCCCATAGTGGACATGATTGGAGGAGCTTGATTGGAAACTCGAGGAATATGGAAATCAAAGTGAATTAACAAGCACAGTCTACAGTAATGCTACAGTACAATTCATTGAAGAAGAGGATAAAGGGCCAAAAAAAAAAAAAGACATTTAATTTCGTGGCCGATAATATTATTCTCCCTCTCCAACCAAAACTAGTATTTCATCTTTATTATCCGGTGGCCATCCCGTGTGTACGTAGTAAAAATGAGAATTCAAATAAGATGAATCTGGAGAAAACCCGAGGGAAAAAATTAGCCATAATTTGATATATCAAAGGGAAATGCGTTATCGAAGAGGCGATACGATAAGAATAAGGGAATTAATACTGAATGGCTAGGTAGCTAGCGAGGCTTGATGGGGAAGGTTCGTGTCTGTAGAAGTTATTCGGAAAATATCTGCAATTCTTTGCGTTGCAGGCCCATCATGCATGTGCCAATTAAGGCAGTGCCTTAGTATATCAACGTCAGCCAGGATTATGTGCTTGACATGAAACAAACAACGAAATGCATCTTATTTATACTCACTGTTTAATTTCTTTCAACTCTCGAACATATTCTTTATGCTTATAAGGATCACTCTACAAGCCACACTGTGCTAGATCGTCGCTGATCCATCCATCGAGCACACCAACACCGAATATATATATATATATATATATATAATCTGTGCATATATATATGTTTATAAGCTGTTTAATTTGAGACCAGTGCAAAAAGCGGTCCTGTACGTAGTTAATCAATACACGGTCGTTGGATTGGGATTAATAATAGTAGTAATAACAATATCTAAAGTCACTGAATAAGATTCCCTCTGTCCTGCCTACTTGAACAGCATCGGCCACGCAGAACCAAACATGTAAAAAGCATCAGAAACCTCTTGCTGGGTTCTAGGATGAGGATATATTGAAATTCCAGTCTGTCAAAGGCAATTAGCAATTAGCAATTCAGTTCTAACAACTTACTGGCAGGCCACCCAATAAGAATAAGATTTCGAATCTCAGTAAAAAATTTCGCACTTGGTTCAGGACTCTCATCTATTACAGTTACACGTCCGAGGCGTCAATGGTAAACTCCCTTCCGGGCTGGTAGGTGTAGGAATAAAATTCAGACGATCATTTCTTAAATTAAACGCCAGCCACAAACGCCATTGCCGCCAGATGAATTTTATTCCACGTAACAGGGGAAATAAAATTCTGTTTCAAAGGTTCATAGAATTGCTGGTGCGTGATGCCTGAATGAGAACATGATAAAAAATTCCATATTCTTCTCGGCTCACAGGGTGACTTAATTTCTCCCAAATATGTGATCTGATTAGAATCTTCCTCTTTTCCGTTCAATGTTCCCATTGGGTTGGGTTTAGCTACTAGATAAAACGTATGAATTAGTCGGACGCACAGACTAACATGCTAGAACGAAGAGTTTTAACCGCAGGCCTTGGGGGATACAAAAAAAGGAAAATCTTAATGGAAAAAGAAATGCTTCTGTCAGATGATGTCTTTGCAAGTGAACTTAGGCTGTGAATTAATGCACGAAATATGAATTTAAATAAAGGTTAAAAAATTAAAAATATGTAACTTCTTATTTATTTGATGGATGGTAAAGTGAGGTTCTTAAAAAACTACCACACCTGTGAAAGAGAGCCTTCTCATTTGCGATTATTTTTTCGTCTCAATTTTGTGCCAAACTAGCCTTAATCCAAAGGCTCGTCTAATAAATTTCCATATCTCTAGAAAATGGAAGCCACATCATGGAAAGCAGAGCACTTCAATTAGTAACAATTTTTTAAGGCATTATTGGTGCATAACCTGTGTAACGCTTTGCCGGAAACAAAGAAGAATGCACTCCAGAAATCACACTCGTACCAAAGCAGTTCCTAGGCCGAAACGCTCTTTTATAGCATAAAAATTTCACATGACACATAAAATTTGTCACAAACTGACGGTGAAAATCCAATTCCATCTGCCTCTTGCAGCAGAGGCCGCAGCAGATATCTTTTGCGTGTCTCACCTATATCGTAGCAGGCTCTAGAAATGATGAGGAAAATAGTGGGGGGAAAAACCTTCTGTGAAATTTTATGAAAAATTGAAATTCAGAAAAAAGCTTCCAAATTAAACAAAGATCTCCATCCACAAGTCTTTTCAAGACGTAGACAGCTATTCCTCCGTATTCATTTATATATTATTTTTGTGTATTTTTTTTCTCAATATTTTAAATGGAGCAGTGGGCGGTAGATGCTAAACAGTAGCCTCAAACTGCTATAAATAGCGCCCCACAGCTCTTCTTCGAGGTGCACATTCATCGCCTTACCTGTTTTAGAGACCTGAAGAGAACTAAAGATGGCACAGACCCTTCGCTTGGCCGTCGCAGTTCTTGGTACTTCTTTTGTTCATACCTTAGTCCCGTAGCATTACTGATTAATGTGACTTTCTTAACAAGAAAGTGAACCATTTGGGTTCTTCTTGCAGGGAATGCTGCCTCAGTTTCCCTTTACGCTGCTCCGACGTATGTTATCTCACTCCAAATTCTTGTATTCCATTTCGCTATCATCTTCTTGTTTCTGAAGAATGTTAACCCTTGACGGCTTCTTCATGATTTCTTTCTTCAGGGTTACTTTGAAGAGGGTCATAAAGAACAAAAGCACAGAGGAGTTCTCTTGCATTCCCTACATCATCGGGCTGTTGAACTGTCTCCTTTTTACTTGGTATGGATTGCCTGTTGTAAGCTGCAAATGGGAAAATTTCCCTCTGGTTACAGTCAATGGCGTCGGGATCGCCCTCGAGCTATCTTATGTTCTCATTTACTTCTGGTATGCTTCGGCCAAAGGAAAGGCAAGTTCCCACTCCCACACAAACTTCTTCCTTCGTTCTTAAATTAGCTAAGCCCCAACCCAAACAAGAAACGCTACAGCCGAAGGAACATACCTGAAAGCTGTCTCATTTTCGTTTCCTGAATTCTCTAAACTACAAAAAGGGGGGTGATATATAAAAGGGTTTTCACCAGTCCACATAGCTCTGTTCTCAGAGGATTGATGGTGTTCTTTTATGCGTTAATAATTTCCTCCAAAAAGATAACATGTGAGTGGCTTCAGAAATATAAATTTATGATTAAGATTATCTGTGTGTGAGGCACCTGTACGTGTCTGCATCAAGGTGTGCAGAAACCAAAGTTGGCAGCTAGCATCTTTACTTTGCGCGCATGCTTAGGCATGCTAAGTGCAGGTAGAGAAAAGATATGGTTATTGAAGGTGATTTTCCATTACAGGTGCAGGTAGCCATGACAGCTATACCAGTTTTGCTGGTGTTCTGCATCACTGCTATTATCTCAGCTTTTGCCTTCCACGACCATCGTCATCGAAAGCTACTCGTGGGTAGCATAGGCCTTGTGGTCGCAATAGCAATGTACGGCTCTCCTTTGGTTGTGATGGTAAGTCACTTTTGTCTTCCACCCAAAATTTTCCTTCCAATTTCATACGGTATCTCCCTTACTTTCACGTCGAAACAGAGTGAAGCAAACAAATCCAAGATGGGGGAACATAGGAGTTCAATTATTGTAATCCATTTCACATTTACTGAAAAAACAAAATATAAATAGAGGCTGATAATTAAAACAAAAAGAGAAGTGTCTTTGCAAGGTTACTCCACTAATACTTTCTTTTTGTCATTTGGCCCTACTTAGCCTTTCATAACATAATTGTATTTTCATTATTATTGCAGAAGAAAGTTTATAAAGACAAAGAGTGTGGAATTCATGCCACTTCCCTTGTCATTGTGCTCATTCCTGGCTAGTTCGCTTTGGATGACTTACGGACTCCTCGTCCGGGACATTTTTGTTGCGGTTTGTATTTTATTCTCCTAAGCTCAAACCTTTTTTTTTTTTAAATATAATTAAAGCCAAGAACAAGTTTGATTAAACTTTGATGTCTTGAACTTCAACTTTGGACAGGGACCAAGTGTGATTGGGCTCCCATTATCCATCCTGCAGCTGGTGCTTCACTGCAAATACTGGAAAGGAAGAGTTATGGAGAAACCAGTGAAGGAAGATGCAGAGAAGGGGAACCTTGAGAAAGATGGATTGGAAGTGGAAATGGGGGACACAGAAAAGAAGGACTTGGAGAAGAATGTGACAAAATCATAGGATGTGTATCTGGTGACCTGTAGCAGTTCCAGTGGGATAGGGTCCAGGGTTTCAGAAAGTTCCGCTCATATTCTGGCGTTTTTGTTTTTTAATATTTCTGTCCCTTTTGTCATTAGTGCTTCCCTGTATTCTTCTCATTAACCCTGGTCATAGTTTCGAACTCTAATATATATGCCTTCTTTTCCTGAGAACTTTATCTCTGCCATTTTTCGTAGAAGCACTCAGGGTTCCAACGCACCACTCCATTGCGTGTGAAAGGATTACCACACACCCACACATATATGCCGCTGTAAAAAGTCACAGCAGTAGCAAAGAAACCACGGTAATATTGGAGCCTGAAAAACAGAATTAACAATCAGTATGAGTCTATGAAAAAGATATTAGGCAGGTATATCCTTATTATCAAATAACCTGATTTCTGGAATGGGGAAATTTGGAGGCAGTGAAGAGAGAGATAGTATGAAAGGCTGAAAGATTTGCTACGTTTCGAATTAAAGAAAAAAAAAAAAAGAAGTTGCTACGTGGAGGAAGTAAAAGAAGGCAGGTAAGGGAAACGGAGATGGTCCAGTCAGCGCATAAAAGCAATAGTTATGAGGAGGAGGCAGTTTATTTTGTCCTTTTGCTGGGCCTTGAGAAATGGGCACGGTTATTAAGGGAGATTCTGTTCTTCTGTGGAGTTGGTTGACACGAAGCGAAGCATAAAAGTCGAACCGTTATGGGTTTCTTAGCAAGGAATATTTTTTGGGAATATTTCCTTCACTTGCGAGATATCATTATTTACCATGATGTATAAACAGGCGCCCTGCCACTAAACAAAAGGCCAAATTCCCTCCTCCCAAAGGCAAAAGACTTCTAATGGGAAATATGAAATTTACCTCTTCGTTTTAGAAAATAACTTTCTCGACCTGAATCAGGAATTTTAAAGTTATTATACTTATGCAATAAATAGCCGTTAACTTTTTGGGTCCGATCTGAAATTAAAAAACCAACTTTGACCTTCAAAAAAACACAACCGTTTTTGATCCGGGACGCTAGCAATAGTTGTTTCTGATGGGTAAAAAAAGGTATGGAATTGACCAAAATCTTGTCCACTTCATCATCTAAAGTGACAAAATTTGACTTTTTATGTCCTTTTATTCAAACCGGACACTTTCATATGGCCTGTTGTTTTGTGCGAGTACAAAGTAAATTACATTTTCTGCTATTAATTAATATTGCATTTTTATAGATTTTTTTTTTGGGCCAGAGGCATTTTTATAGATTCTATATCATATAATAATGATTTATGGAATATAATTATATTGATGTTTTTTTAGCATTTAAATATTATTTAAAACTTAAAAGACAATATATTTCGTGACCACTGATAACTTTGCCTTCCTCGATTTTCATGGAGAGAGTGTTGTTGGAAATTTAAATATACAAAAAAAATGTGAAAATTAGAAGAAAAAAATAAATGCTGCAGGAGAATTTAAGTATTGGAATTATATGGTTAGAGAATCACTAAAAAGTTTTGAGAGAGAAATTACTTACTAAAAAAGTTCAATAATAAGTTGCCAGCATGAACCTTTTGTTATTTCTACTTTAAGACTTATTATTACTACTATTTACTTGTTGATGAATTTTAGAGCAATTAAATCCTATCTTTAAGACCAGATTGTAATTCTTCTTAACTTCTAAGAGGAGCTTTAACCTGTGTTGGCCAAAAGCAAAAAAACAAAAAAAGAGAGGAGGTTTAACCTGAACAAAGAACAATAGTTATAACACCATAATTCTTTTTAAGGGGGGAAAAACAAAGGAAGTTGTCATAGGACTTTGAAAAATTGTGCGCTTAACTGCCTATTTTTACGGCACGAGTCTTTAAATTAATATGCCTCATGACCTTTTTATTTTAATTACTCTTGTTCCGTTTTTTTCTTTTGCTGACTTTTCAAATATTTCACACACGCCTTTTCCATTTATGGAATCCATGTACTTCCATGACGTAATAAACTTAATTTAGGAAAAACAAGAACAAAGTGATAGGCCCATTGATTATTCTACCTCGTCTTCACCTATACACGCACCATGACAAGCTCCATCAGCGGACGTCTATGACAGTTTGAAAATCTGATTTTAGCAGTATAAATTTAAATTTTTTAATTATTTATTTTTAAATCAGAAAATCATTTTTTGAAAAAGTAGTAGTTAAAAATTATCTCTATTTTAAATTATATACATGTTAAAATAATTACTTTAAACAAATAAAAAAATCAAATCCAGATCATCCAAAAAAGACATAAATGATTCAAATCTAATGAGTTTTAAGTGCCCATCAAAGTGATGAGTATCAAAACTGGTTTGTAACAGTTTGGGTGCTCATGTTAAAGATGGGCACTTAAAGCTCATCTTTTTTAGACCCTTTAGATCTGATTTAAGTAGTCTAAATCTAATTTTTTAATTAATTATTTTTATATAATAAAAATTATTTTAAAAAAATGATAATTAAGAAATTATTTTTATTTTAAATCCTATACCAATTAAAATAATTATTTAAAAAATAAAAAAGAAATTAAATATGAACCATCCAGATCTCATCAAGATAGTCCTGATAGGATAACCTCAAGATACTTGTCTTTAAGATTGGCACCTAAACTCGTTCTAAGGTCCAGTTTGTAGTGTCATCACATAATGCGATATTACTTTATTTTACATGACATGACCACTTTTAAAACATGAACATTAATTTTAAAAGATGTTTACAGAAGCAAAACAGAGATTGGCTCGATAAAAAGAGAAATCATGAAAAAGAAGATCTGTTCCTCTTTAGGATAATGCGGTGTTGGCCTCCCAGTGGAATGATCAATTCTGGCAACAGCGAGGATGATGAGATTAGTAAGCGCAAAATTAAAGCCAGGAGAGCAGGGGAAGGAAAAAGAGTTAGATACCCCTCACGCGCGGCGGTCAAAATGAAAAGGTGTTGGAAGGGGCCTTGTTGCGGTCATTAATAAAACTTCCACCTGTGGCTTGGCGATCTAACTAATTCTAAACTACAGCTTGGTTATTGTAGTTGTCGCAGAAAAGAGGCGGCAAACGCTTTCATGAGAACAGCGGCAATTTGGTCCCTGGTCTCTCACATACATCCTATGCCCTTTGCCCTCGGCAGCATTAAAATCAGGGCCCATTGCTCAAATTTTATGTGGTCCCGTCTCATTCAGGTACGCGATTAGGTCTTGCAGAATAAGTTAATCTTTGATAATGTGGGTAATCAGGGTTTGAGAGTCTGTTGAGAGAGGTATCAACAATTAATACTGGACAATACTTTAAGCAAAATTATTTTCAAAAGGATGGTCGTGCCTAGATGAAGAAAAATCATTCAAGGCTAGCTATGGCAGAATATGTTGTTGGAGATTTGTGCATGGATTTTCTTTACCCTGCGATGAAAAAAAAGAGGATATAGAGTGGGTAAAAATATAAAAAGGACTTGATTTTAAATAAAAAGAGAACAATAATTTTTTTTAAAATAATGTGGTAAAGATAAGAGATGAAACTATAATTTAAAAACCAGTGAACTTGTTATACTAAAAAAATAAAAACGAATGTGAAAAAAAAACCAAAACAACCTCGCGACATAAAATATTTATTTTATGTGTATTTACTGTATAATTCATGGTTTTGCAGCGTATTTACTTAACCATCTAATTCTCTTAAAAACGTTTAAGTATAGATGCGAATGATAACTTCAATTTAACAAATGAAAAATACCACTGCATTGAATTTGTTTGAAAAAATTAATTCTCAATTTTTAACTTAATTATAACTTAATCTCATAATTATAACTGGTGACTAATTTTTGGACGAGTCAAGAAATAAAAATTGAGAAATTAAGATATAAGTAATATATTAATTTTTCCATTTTTTTAACCCCCATGTTCAAAAGTTTTCTTCAACTGCATTTTGTCAATGGAATCAGCCGGGACGAGGACACCGAGTGGGAGCGCAGCTGTTGGGCTCGGAATTTTGACACCGCGACAATTGTCGAGTCACATGCCTCCTCTGTTTTTAACAGCCACAGCCGTACAATGCCTATTCACGTAGCCCCTGTTTCGTCCCTCTTCTTGTCAGGGTCCCCCCACCCCGCTTCATTTGAGTTTAGATTTATTATTTATAAATAAAATCAATATGGTAGCAAAATGCATCATCTGGTTAATTATCAACAAAATACTGGTAGTAAGAGAAGTTGAGTGGGGAGGAATTCAATCCCTTTGAAGGCACCTCTTTAAAGATGTGATTATCGATGCTCCATCATTATGGGTGGAAACTGGAAAGCTGCGCTGGGACATTCTAATAAGAAATTGCGGACTATTTAGCGAAAACCTCCAGCCATTTGGAGGGCAATTTTTACATTTTAATTTTTGAATCAACTACTCTCTATTATGGGGGGTTGATTAAAAAAACTAAACACTTTGTACTAGTTAGCTCACTTTAATAAATTCCGAGGATGAGACGTGGCAAATGGAGAATGGGTGGGATGGAGAGGCAGCAGAACAAAACTAGGAAAAGACAAGAGAGGCATATGACTCAACGGACACGAACCCAACTCTCCAGCGGAGGCGCCCAAGTCCCATCTGCATCCCACTGGCTATGTGAATTCAATTTGGACAGCTCCAACGAAGCAGGCATAAGCATCCATGCCACGCTTTCCTAGACTCTGATCCTTCTGTTTAGTTACCTTTTCTACGTGTTGGCGTTCCTGACGGTCTTTCCACAGCACCCCCCACATGGCCTTCAGTTCCGCGCACTCCTTTCTTTCCCTGTTTTAGTTTTATAACTCGCTCTCCCTCACCCTCGATCTGACGCATACAAACTCCCCGCCCCTCTTCTTCCACCCAAACGCTGCATCCATCTCCTTTTGACTGCCCCCACATGCTCCACATCCACATATCGGAACTGGTTTGATTTGATTCCCCAGTGCATGCCTCCGCTCACTCCACCTGCTGCAGATTCTCTGACTCTTTCCATTAATCGTATCTACAACCATATGTGTCTTTCATTTAATTTATTCAAAGCCCCGTGACGTGATGATTCATCATCTTTCCGCGCGGCCCCAGCATCTGCCGCTACTTCCAATATGATTCCATCCGTGCGTATCATGGTATTGTGTGTGTGTGTGTGTGTGTGTGTGTGTGGATACATGCACCTT